TTTTTTTTTTTTCAATATAAATTTATGCCCTTTTTGTTAAAAAGTACCCACATCTCGCATACATGAATTATGATGTACTCTGTGCCCCTATTTCATCACAACATTGAGATATTTCAGGTACAGTTCTACTGTTTTCCCTTCTCAGGCCAAAAGATACAGCGCATTTTCTTTGGGTCAGAGCATGGGAAAGGGGAGGCTGACGGTGAGACTGGGGTCATCAACCAGGCTGTGGACCGGGCGGTGACCTCAGGGAAGCTCACCGTCAAGGATGCTGGAGACCTCTTTGCCTGGTGTAACAGAGAGCTGGTCAGATCTCTGGACGGTTTCCGACGGGAATTCTTCCTGGTTGGAAAAAATGAAATCCTAAGGGACCGTCCAGAGACTGATGTGATCACCATCCCTGGGACCCGGAGGATCCACCAGGCGGAGAGGGTCTCCAACTACATTATAAGGACAAGGACGCTGGCATGCTTCTGCCCTGCCTGTCGAAGGGATGAAGGTGGATGCCACAACCAGGCATATGTGGGCACCCACATTATCCACAAGATCCGACCAAGGTGAGGGATAATTTTTTCCTATAAAACTAATGATAGTAATAATTTCTACCTCTACTGATGTTTGCATGAACTCATTGATATTTACATGTGTGTGTGTGTGTGTAGTGTGTGTGATGTAAAGCAACTTTTTGTATTTTTGTTTTATGAAACAGCCACCCCAGTGTCCTTAACGAGGCATTTTTGGAGGACCCAGAGCCTTCTACTTCCCAGCACAAGGAAACGGAGTCCACCACCTTGGATCGAACTGAGCCAAGGATTGGCGACTTCGTTTCAATTACATACACTGTTGGAAGGAAGCAACTCATGTACAATGCTGTTGTAAGTTTTTCTTTTCTTTGTCTGAATTGTACATTTTTCAGTGGAAATTTTTTTTCTGTTTCATTGGGGGTTTTTTTGTTTTGTTTCAGCTTGACATTTGTTTACCATGTTTCATTTTTGTTTTTGTTTTTTCAGTTCAACACTTTTTTGCCATGTTTTGTTTGTTGTTTGTTTTTGTTTTTCAGTTCAATATTTCTATACGTTTCCCTTTTTTTTTTTGCAGGCAGATATTTCTCTATTTTTTTTTCCATTGTTTCATTTCATTATGTAATCCACTAAACAGTTATAATAATCAATGTTTTATCCTTCGAAATTGGTGTTAAAATCCATGCCATACCTATTTTATCATATGGAGACAACTGGTGATTTTAAATTTAGTCTTGATAAAAGAATAGATTTCAAAAGTCGCAATTTTGATTAAAGTCTTTTATATGGGTAAATCTCTATAATTCTTTCCATTTCTTTTTTGCAGGTCATTCCACCACAAGAGGTTCTAGAGGATGGAGAGCTCCTTGTTTCCTTCATGAGGAAACAAGGGGCTTCTTTCATTTTCCCTCATGTACCAGAGATATGTGTAGTACACCTCGAGGAGGTTGTGGTCCTCCACCCTCCGACTATAGACAATCGGGGGAGACATTTTTTTGATTAATTTTTTTTTTTGAATGTTTTTTGTTGTTGTATTTGGTGGGGAGGGTGTTATTGAATATTGGAATACAAAATCTTTTCAACTGTGGCTGTGTTTTCATGGATTGTGATGTTCTTTCTGAAACTTTGGATTATTTTGGACGTGGCGGAAATTCTGAGGTGAGGTTGCTTTTTTGTTAATATTTTTTTTCCTGAACCTTTGCTGACTCTTTAGTTCACATATTTGAATTCCCCTTTGAAAGAGCTTTAATTTGATATATGATACATCTATCTGGACAAAGATTGAAAAAATCAAAAAAATTTTGAAAAGTGGGAAATCTGTGGGACCTTACCGTGAAATCTGCCATATGAGTGCCAGAAGATTAGAGGTGTTACAAGAGAGTAACAAACATAAAAAAGAAGAAGGGGAGATAAGGACGATAGATATAAGATAGGAAAGAAGGAGCAAACCACACCAGAGCACCCGCCAACCACCCACACTACGGATAAAGCTGAGAATTTTCAACTCAAATGTGAAGTTAGTCTTGTTGTATGGATGTGAGATGTGAAACGCATCTCAGATGTGCATAAAGAGGATACAGGTATTCTTGAACAAGTGTCTGAGGAAGCTAGTTGAGGATCAGATGGACAGACAGGATTACCAACGAGGAAGTATTAAGAATGAGACAGACCCCAGTCAGAAATGAGGTGGGAAGAAGGCATTGGCGATGGATTGGATACACTTTCAGGAAACTGCATAACAAGGAAAGTGCAAGATTGGAACCCACAGGGTGGCGGCCGAAGCCTACTCTTATCGATTTTTGACCACCAAGGGATCTTTAACGGGCGCAACTTGCACACGGGCCCTCCGAGATTTTTCGCCCTTATCCGAGAAGGCTAGGTGTGGATCTTTCCTACCAGAAGATCAGAGGGGTGGCTGAAAGACAGCAGTAAGAAGAAGCCAAGGAGTAGCAGTAGAAAGGCTGTATAAAGAATCAGGAGCCCAGAGGGAGGGGGGGGGGCAAAGGAGATGAGGGAGTGGGGGCAGAAAGAGGAGACGAAAGCAGACGACAGAACATTGCTAGAGACCAGGAAAAGAGAAGAAAATTTTTCTGTCACTACCCGGATTCGAACCCGGGACCTTTGAATGAGAGGCCAACACCTTAATCTCTAGGCTAGGTCACGAGAGCCCCTGAATAACTATAAGTATAACTAGTTATCCCTGCAATTATTTGAATTGGTTGTTGGTGAGCTTACATTTGCCTAGATCTAGTCATCTATTAGTAGGTTCTAGGTTCTAGAGGTGGGCAAGGACTTACATTTTCATGCCCCCCTGACCTAAAAAAAATATGGAGGTAGGGGGGTTCAGGGGGGCATGCCCCCCTGAAATTTATCCTAATTTGATGTTTTGCAGTTAGGTTGCATCCCTGCTCTTTGTGTAGCCTAATTCAAATAGTATTTGGTCTTCAAAACTTCTGGATTTCTTCTCTGGATGTAAACAAATGGATTGTGGACTTTAACGAACGGAACTACAAGATCACCAAGTGCAAAACTGGCAGAAAGTACGGATTTCCTTAAAAATTCGGAAGAGTGGAAGCACTGTTACATTGAGCTGCTAGATTCTATATGATATATCTCCCGATGACTAGACTAGATTGTAAGTATACTTGGGCTGAGACCACTATCCTTTGATTTGAATAGGATCGGCCTTGGCCTAGATCTAGATCTAGATCTAGATTCTAGATCTAATTAGTTTTCTCAGATTTCCAATGACAGACAATACCTGAACAAATGAGCAATAATATTGAAACTCTACAAATCATGAAAATGTTTAGGGACTTTGAAATGTTTATCACGGAAGAGCCCTTCCATCCACACCCCCACCTACCCCCTTTTTTTCTAATCTACAAATTCATCTATTTATCGGTAAATCTGCATAACATACCAGAAACCTTACCTGTTCTTTTACAGCCTGCCTCAGAGGAGCCAGCTTTGCTTCAATTTCAGGATCCATCATGAAGTTCTTGGCTTTCTGAAGTTTTAATATTTTCCGCTTCTTAGAACCCCACTTTGAATTCAAATTCTGTTGAGCGGAATATGTGGATCGAGAACTGAATCCAAAGAACAGGACAAAGTTGTTTGCGTCGCTGGAGTATTTTGTACCAAACCTGCTGGTGTAAAAGCAACCACCAGACACAGCTCGGCGAACAATTTGCAAGAGTTTCATCAGCCTTTGGCTTGGCTACGTTGACTGCAGGTTTTATGGAGATCGAATGGAAGCTTTAAAAATGCAATTCATATGATCAACATGTACTGCAGATATTTTAAACAATGTATGATACGTATGCTATAATTTTAATCTATATCTTAGTTCCGTAAATTACAGAGCAGGATTATCCATACAAATGAATTGAACATTTACAAGGAATTTGTCCTTTAGATCCCTTTCGGACACCAGGATATAAATTCTAGAGTTATGTACCGTTGCAAAATGGCAGCTCCCCCGGAGCGGCATGAAAATGAAACCGGAAGACTGACATTTTCATAGGTTCACGAATCGTTTCGCCTTTTGCAAATGGAACAAAAATATTTGTGTGATTTTTTTTCTTTTTAATTAGTGTTTTACGGTGCTCGCAACGGCATATTTGGTCATATGGGCGCGTGGGACACATTAAACATTTTCAGCAGGTGGCAAATTTTGATTTTTGCCCGGGTGGCGGGAGAACCCTACTTTATTAATCGATTTTGGACCACCAAGGGATCTTGCAACTTGCGCACAGGACCTCCGAGATTTTTCGCCCATATCCTAGAAGGCTAGGTATTAGATCTTACCTACCATAAGATGGGGGCTGAAAGAAAGCAGTAAGTAGAAAGGCAGCAGAAAGAGCCAGGAGCCCAGAGAAGGGGGCAAAGGATGGGAGGGGTTTGGGGCAGAAAGTGGAGACGACAGCAGGCGACAGAACATTGTTAGAGAGCCGAAAGGATATGAAAAGTGGAAATTTTAGAAGAGAAAATGTTCCGTCTCTGTCCGGATTCGAACCCGGGATGCATTTTGACTGAAGAGTACACTATAACCTTTCGATCACTATAGCCCCCTTGTGAATTTGGAAGTAAAATATTCAGACATAACATGTTTTTTTAATAAATAATTATAATATGATGTAATATCTAGGGAAATAATTTCGGAAGGGGAGTATTGAGTAGGCCTACTCGGCCAAGACATAGAGGCAAATCATTTTTAATAAAAGAAATTTTTGATTGAGTAGGTGTTTTACGGCACTATCGACTCAATTTTGGTCATTTAAGTGCCAATTTAATGAAAGGAGAACCTGGAAGAGCAAGACAAATTCACATAAAAGCCGGTCACTTTTTATCAGTTGGACAGTTGGGTGGACAGAGGACAAGAGATTTATTGTTGCTAACAATTTCCATTCAGTTTCAAGTTAATCTTAATTAATATTTATTGTCAGCATTCAAAAAGCACTTTGCCGGTTTGAGGGCGCCCAAAAAAGACGACAGGGATTCATTGATAAGTTGATGCACTCCAGATTCTCTTTCCTTCGTCTCTGTTCTATTAGAGTGGCGCGCAAAGACCGTGATCCAAGCCGGTGATTTTACAAGTCTTCTGGGTCCAGGAAGCCTCTAGATGCCATGGCTTCTCAGCTGCTATTTTATTGAGGGATTAGACATTTTAATGTTTAATACATGTATTTCATCTGTTATGTTATCAGCAAAACTGTCTCTAGTTACTGTCAGTATATTTATTGTCAGCATGGCTCAAATTGGTATTGCCTATAGGTTTTAAGTCACCCGTGGTTCTGTTTAACAATTGGCTAACAACGTTATATAGACGGGATATTACGAGGATGTGAGTGAGAGGCACTCGGCTGATGGAGTCTGGGCCACCAAAACAACCCCCTCCCATCCCATTTTCCCTCACCCTGGCCAGATGTTGAGTTCTATAATTGGCATTTTGACACAGTTACCCACTTACCCTTATGCAGTCTTCTGAGAAGTGCGACAAGAAGAAGGTTTGTTTATGACTATGAATTGTATGCTATGTTCAGTGCGTGTGCAAAAGTACACAGTTGTATCTGATTCAAAGACTTGATCTGCTCGGAACAGCGCCATGTCATTGATACAGTGTCCTTCAGTTATTTTTTCGGACTATCTTAATCATATTTAACATCATGTAGATCTAGTCCAAACCAAACGCACTTTACCTTTTCTCACAAGGCTCTAGAGTTTTAGTTTCTCTGAAGCTCGATGCGGATATGTTGACTTTTGTTCTTGTACCCAGCTGATCATTATGTGGAACTCGAGCCCTTTGTAACTCCGCATTTCAGTGTGTGTGGTCTTTCGTGTGTAGGGCCAACCTTTCATACCAAAACAGCAAGAACGACCACATCCCAAATTGTTTAAATTTTAGATGATTTGGATTGATAAACTTACTTACACAAACACACGTAAGCGCACAACAGAAAGAGAGAGAGAGAGAGAGAGAGAGAGAGAGAGAGAGAGAGAGAGAGAGAGAGAGAGAGAGAGAGAGAGAGAGAGAGAGAGAGAAACACGCGCGCACAGAGAGAGACATACACACAAACACGTACTCAAATAATACACGCACACACATTACACACACACCACACTCAAATAACACACGC